AATGAGGAGAGAGAGGTTCCGGTCCCCCTTTACTTCACACGTAGTGTGAAGTACCGCAGGGGATTCTGGGATTAAGAGTCCTTTTAGGCCTCTTTGTGATCTCAGTGAATAACTCAAATGAGGCTTTTACAGAGGTGCAGGCCCAAGTCCATTGTTTGACTGTCCTAAACCTGCGTGGCCCAACATTATGTTACAAAAAGCAGGTAAAAGACCTTACTCATTGTTATGTTACAAAAAGCAGGCCTATCCATCATGAGCACTTGAGCAAAGCAGCAAAAGTTACAGTGGTAAAAAAAAAACTTTCTTATTAAAAGGCAGAAATCTTCGGCCAGATCCCCGGCTCACGACGAAACAGCCTTCACAGGTCTAGACTGTGCCGGACTTGGAAAGGGGGAGAGATGGATAAGATGCAGGAAGAGGATAGGGCAAGGGGGTGGGGGAAGGCAGACCTCGATCAACGATCTGGCGGGGAGGGGGGGGTTGTTCTGGCAGACCGTCAACCAACGATCTTGAGGAGCCTAAGAGAGCTCAAGAGCTCTCAGGAAAGTAGGTGGTTAGTGACTGAGATTTACAGATAGATACATGCAGTAATATGATGTACTGTATATGCAGAGAGAGAGAAGAGAGAGAGAGAGAGAGAGGAGCTCAAGTGCCAGTTCCCCCGGTAGTCTAAGCCTATAGCAGCATAACTAAGAGCTGGTCTACACCAGCACTAACTATAAGATTTATCAAAAAGGAAAGTTTTAAGTCTATTCTTAAAAATACAGACTGTGTCTGCCTCCTGGACCCCGGCTGGAAGGCGGTTCCAGAGGAGAGGAGCCCGATAACTGAAGGCTTTACCTCCCATAGTACACTTAGAGACTGTAGGTACCACCAGCAGGCCTGCACTCGGACCGCAACGCTCTCGAGGGCAGTACTGCACTAGTAGCTCCTTAAGATAAGATGGTGCCTGGCCATTTAGAGCTTTGTAGTGAGAAGAAGGATCTTGAATTCTATTCTAGACTGTATAGGAGCCAGTGCAGAGAAGCCAGGACAGGAGTGATGTGGTCCCTTTTCCTGGTTCTGGTCAGTACACGAGCTGCAGCGTTCTGGACTAGTGATGTGAAAAGCAGTTCTTTTCAGTGTACTGAATCAGTAGAATCAGTTCAGTAAAGTGATTCGTTCAAATGATTCGTTCACCGAATCGTTCAGTACTTCTCTGCAGCTCTGTCTGTGAATCAGAATTCAATAAACTGAAACACGGCGAACGTTTAGTTCTGCTCGCGATCGTACTGAGAACAGCCGGTGGTGAATAATAAACCAATGAGCTGAGAATTTAGTTGGATAAAGCCACAGTTTGCAAACTGAAAGCTGCTAAAACAATCACATTTATTTTCCCCGACCGTTCTGTTCAGTACGTTCAGTACACAAAATCACTCACTGACTGTCTGACTGAGAGGGAGAGAGAGGAGGCGGACTCGTTCAGTTCATTCACTGAACGAGAGCTCCGACGTGAATCACTGAACGAACTGAACGAGAGCTCCGACGTGAATCACTGAACGAACTGAACGAGAGCTCCGACGTGAATCACTGAACGAACTGAACGAGAGCTCCGACGTGAATCACTGAACGAACTGAACGAGAGCTCCGACGTGAATCACTGAACGAACTGAACGAGAGCTCCGACGTGAATCACTGAACAACTGAACGAGAGCTCCGACGTGAATCACTGAACGAACTGAAGAGAGCTCTCGACGTGAATCACTGAACGAACTGAGAGGAGAGAGAGACTCAGAGCTCCCGTTCAGAATCAGTACACACAATCACTTTCACCAGTCAGTCAATGATTTGTACGATCATTAATTAATAACAATTAAGCTGGGTGTCGCGAAAATGTATGTGCTTGTTGTTATGAGGCTTTCAGTTTGCAAACATTATCATGAATGACAATTAATTTAACTTAATATAGGCTACATGCAGAAAATATGCATGGCAACGAATATATCCTGTACCAGAACAGTTATATTTTAAATTATATAAGCAGATTTTTAAAATAATAATATAGGCTAATTTAGGCTACTTTGTCGGCAAGGGCTGCTTTATTTAAACAAACTATGATTATATATTAGGCAGCTTTGTTTAATGTCTTAACTGTAGATGTAAATGCATGGCCATGCAAATTGTATACAAATATTGTCAATATAAAAAGTGTTTTTGTTGTTTTGTTATGAAACTATCTGTCACCTGGACTCAACCATTATTAGGGAGATGTGACCCCACAGAACAAGCACACACACACACACACACACACACACACAGACACAGACTTAGACTTACTTTACAAAAAACTATGTCTCAGTTGACCTAACTTGACCCTCCACACACATACACACTTAAAAAATGCATTTTTACTGTAAACTTAAGGTCTCTCTACTGAATTTCCCCCTACCATCCCCCTCTAAGGTCCCTTCCCCTCCTCCCCTGTTACTTGGTATGTTCCCCTGATCACCCTGACCATGTACCCTCATGAACAAACACCCTTCCCCCATTATCAAAGGAGTAAGACAGTGAAAAAACAAGATGAGTGAGTCAAGAAGGAGAAGCGTTATCTGGACACTATTTGAATTTATTCCACCAGCAGCCGCATCATGCACGATTTGCAAAGCTCTCCACCAAAGGTGGGTCAACAGCAAATCTCCACAGACATTTAAAGTCAAAACATCCAACTGTGCAGCTTGAACAGGTAAGACAAGAGCCTCAGCCTGCTCCTACAGTAGAAGACAGCAGCAGCACCAGCACTGCTCCAGCCAGTACTCGCACTGCTGTATCCACACAAGGGGCAACAGATAGGCCCAGAGCAAGGCGTGCACAAGCCACCCTCACTCACTTTGTGTCGAGGCCTATCGACCCCATGAGGCAAAGGGCAATGGATGAGGTGCTGGCAAAGATGATTGCACTTGATTTGCAGCCTTTTTCCATTGTTGAAGATAAGGGGTTTCGGCAATACACAAAGGAACTGAACCCCAACTATGTTCTGCCAAGCCGCAAAACACTGTCAAATTCAATTATCCCAGAGCTGTACAGGAGGACACATGAAAAAGTTCAAGAAAGAGTGGATAAAGCTGAAGCAGTGTGTCTCACCACAGACTGCTGGACATCCAGGACAACAACTTCCTTCATGTCTGTGACATGTCATTTCATTTCTGACTTGAAAAATGTGTCCGTCCTGCTAGATTGTTTTGAAATGATCGACAGGCACACAGCTGACAATCTGGCAGAGCAACTTTTGAGGGTTGCAAGGGAGTGGAACATTGTGCATAAAGTTGTTGCCTGTGTCTCTGACAATGCTGCCAATGTTGTGAAGGCCATCCAGAACACAGGTTGGCCCCACCTATTCTGCTTTGCCCAATGCCCACACCCTGAACCTCATTGTACATAGTGGCATTGCTGCTATTAAACCTACAGTAGATAAGGTCAAGGCAATTGTGGAATACATGCACAAGAGCACAGTTGCCTCTGAAAAACTGAAGGCCACACAAAACCAGTTGGGGTTGCCAGAACTGCGTCTGAAACAGGATTGCCCAACTCGTTGGAACTTAACATATTACATGCTGGAGAGAATACTGCAGAACAGAGAGGCTGTCATCACAACACTGGCCTTAACAAATCCTAGACTGGCCACCCTATCTCCAGAAGAGTGGGAGGAGATGCAACAGGCCTGCAATGTTCTGAAGCCCTTTGAGGAGGTCACAGTTGAAATAAGCGGTGAAGGGTACGTTTTTTCAATATTATTGCATTGTCGTGATAATACTGTGATTTTGAAGGCCTAATTTTCACTTGCACAGTCACATCAAAACAAAGTCATAAACCTGTCAATCAAGCTACTCTAGGTCATCACCACGGGAACTTGACTTCAGAGGAGCTTCAAAGGCTTTATCTTACTTCCTAGCTAGAGCTTTTCATTGCTATTTTTCAAACTAATGATTATGAATATGATCATTTTACAACGATTACTACTAATAGTTATACTGGTATTAATAATAACAACATGCATATTATTATCACTAAGAGGCCTAATCCTTCTTTCTCTTTCACTCAGGTATGTGACAGCTTCAAAAGTCATCCTTTTGGCAAGAGGTCTTCAAAAGATTGCATCAAGCCACCAACGAGCTGCTGGAAACCTCAGTGAACCAGTTAGGAAATTGGTGGACAACATCTGTTCCCAAATGTCTCACCGGTTCCATAAAATAGAGTCCCATGTTTTGCTCTCTGAGGCAGCAGCACTTGACCCGAGGTTCAAGAAGAAGGCCTTTCGGCAGGATGAGGCAGCTGACAATGTGTTTCATCGCCTCTGCAATTCTGCAGCAAGGATGACATTCCCCAACCAGCAGGCTGAGGAGAAGAAGAGGGAGCAGAAGCACAAGAGTAGAGGAGAGTGCAGTCTGGAAAGAGTTTGATGAGCAGGTCTTTGGGCTTGTGACAAGCAGTCGCAATCCAACTGCAGATTCTGTGCTAGAGGTCCGTGGATTTATAGAGGAGCCTCTAGTGCCCAGGTCCTCAAACCCCCTCACTTGGTGGCAAAGTAGAAGGGTGGTATATCCCAGACTCTGTGAATTCATGAAGAGGAGACTCTGCATTGTGGCCACATCTGTCCCGTCTGAGAGAGTGTTCAGTAAAACGGGGCAGATAGTTTCAGAGAGAAGGAGCCGGCTCAGCTCTTCAAAGGTCCGTCAGCTGGTATTCATCAATGCAAACCTGCACATGTAATCTTAATTGAAGATTATTAGAAGAAAATCAATGAATCTTAATTTTCACTGATATTCCCATTGTTTGCAACAATATTGCTCACCTGGCATGCTGGTGATTTTTTTTGTTGTCTCTTGACTTTGTTTTGCACTACAGTTTATTTTGTTTGTGATTGCACATTTAAGTTAATATTTTGTTTGTGACATTTTTAAAATGTAGACCATTGTAAATAGTTTCTACCTTGTCTATTTAATATTTGTTTTTGCACTGTAGTTTTAGTCTATATTTACTTTTTTGTATTTTCTTTTTGATAGCCTATTGTTTTTTATCTTTTGAGTTTTTTTAATTGCACTGTAATTTATGTTTCTCACTTTTATTTTTTATTGTTTTCATTTTATCTAATTAAAAATAATTAATAACCTAATATTTATTTGCGTACATCTTTTATTTGCGTAGTGAAACCTAAAATATGAAAAACGGGTTCACAGTTCGTTCAGTGAACATACTGTGAACGGGAGCTTTGAGACACGAGACGGAAGAGAGGAGAGGGCAACTGAAGTTGCGAAATGAACAACTCTTTTTAGTAAGTGATTCAGTTCAGTTCGTTCACCCAGATGATTCGTTCGTTTTGAACGAATCGTTCAGCACCGACACATCACTATTCTGGACCAGTTGAAGAGTCTTTAGAGACTTACCAGAGCACCCTGACAAAAGAGAGTTACAATAATCCAATCTGGAGGTAACAAATGCATGAACTAGTTTTTCTGCATCATTTTGCGACAGGATATTCCTGATCTTAGATATATTACGAAGGTAAAAATAGGCTGTTCTTGAATCTTGACTGATGTGAGAGCTAAAAGACATATCTTGATCAAATAGAACTCCTAGATTCCTAACAGTGGTGCTAGATGCCAGGCTGATGTCACTAAGGACAGTCAAATCACTAGAAAAAGTCTCTCTGAGGTTTTTAGGGCCTAGCAAAATAACTTCAGTCTTGTCTGAGTTAAGTAGCAAAAAATGTCTGGTCATCCAGGTCCTAACGTCCTTAAGGCACGTTTCTAGCTGACATAACTGACTGGTGCCATCAGGCTTCATTGATACATAAAGCTGAGTATCATCTGCATAACAATAAAACTGTATGGAGTGTTTCCTCATAATATTTCCCAGAGGAAGCATATATAATGTAAAGAGAATTGGTCCAAGCACTGAACCTTGTGGGACTCCATGGCAAACTTTAGTGTGTATAGAGGACTTATCATTAACATGTACAAACTGAGATCGGTCTGATAAGTAGGATTCAAACCAACTTAAAGCAGTCCCTGTAATTCCAAGTAAATGTTCTAGTCTGTATAATAGGATCTGATGGTCAAAGGCGTCAAAAGCAGCACTAAGATCTAACAAGACGAGCACAGAGAGAAGTCCCCTGTCTGAGGCTAGAAGTAGACTGTTTGTAACTTTAACTAGTGCAGTCTCAGTGCTATGGTGGACTCTAAATCCTGACTGAAACTTCTCAAATAAACTGTTGTCATGGAGAAAGTCACACAGCTGTTTAGCTACCACCTTCTCCAGGATCTTTGAGATAAAAGGAAGGTTGGATATAGGCCTGTAGTGAGCTAGAGTTCCTGAATGTAGAGTAGGTTTTTTAAGTAGAGGTTTGATTATCGCTACTTTAAATGACTGTGGTACATAGCCTGCCAGTAAAGACGAATTGATCATATCTAATATAGAGTTGCTAACTAAGGGAAATACTTCCTTAAACAGCTTGGTTGGGATTGGGTCTAAAAGACAGGTTGACGGTTTTGACGTAGAAATAATTGAATTTAGCTCTGAAAGGTCGATTGGAGAAAAACAGTCGAGACTAATATCTGGTCCTGGAACTGTCTCTGCCGTATCAGACGTATCTGCACCAGGTAAGGGCAGGAGGTTACTAATTTTGTCTCTGATGTCTAGAATTTTGTTGTTGAAAAAGCTCAGGAAGTCATCACTGCTGAGGGCTAAAGGAATACAAGGCTCAATGGAGCCATGACTCTCTGTCAGCCTGGCTACAGTGCTGAAAAGGTATCTAGGATTGCTTTTGTTTTCCTCGATTAGAGAGGAGTAGTAGGCAGCTCGAGCGTGACGTAGAGCCTTCATATATTTTATATGACTATCCTGCCAGAATAAACAAGAGTCTACCGTTTTGGTCGAGCACCATATTCTTTCAAAATTTTGCGACGATTGTTTTAGAGTACAGGTTTCTGAGTTGAACCATGGAGCTATTCTCTGCCGTTTGATAACCTTCTGTTTTAGGGGAGCAATCGAATCAAGAGTAACTCTCAGTGAATCCACTGCACTATCAACAAACTGATCTAGCTGAGAGAGACTAAAGCTATCAGAAGAGTTTCCAACTGGGTTGAAACACGGCACTGAATCAAAAGCAGCTGAAATAGCTTCCTTAAATCTAGCTACAGCACTATCAGATAAACTTCTAGAGAGCACATTAAGCAGAGATAATTCTCTTGATTTCATCTCCGGCCTCTTTCTTTCAAAATTATTTTTATTGAGTTTTTCTTGGATGCATGTTCAGTAAAGCTGTGCATCTTCACTGGTCTTACGATTCGATTCGATATCACGATGCATCACGATTCATCCTCAATTTTCTATATTACTGCACATGGCTACTTTTTCAAACAGAGACAAACAGTCCAGAGAAAGATGTTTTTAAGTCTCTGTGTGGTTTAGTTTATAATAAGAGAGAAAGATGTTTTTAAATCTCTGTGTGTTTAGTTTATTATAAGAAGAAAGATGTTTTTAAGTCTCTGTGTGTTTAGTTTATAATAAGAGAGAAGATGTTTTTAAGTCACTGTGTGTTTTAGTTATAATAAGAGAGAAATATGTTTTTAAATCTCTGTGTGTTTAGTTTATCATAAGAGAGAAGATGTTTTTAAGTCTCTGTGTGTTTAGTTTATTATAAGAGAGAAAGATGTTTTTAAGTCTCTGTGTGTTTAGTTTATCATAGAGAGAAAGATGTTTTAAGTCTCTGTGTGTTTAGTTTATCATAAGAGAGAAGATGTTTTTAAGTCTCTGTGTGTTTAGTTTATAATAAGAGAGAAAGATGTTTTTAAGTCTCTGTGTGTTTAGTTTATAATAAGAGAGAAAGATGTTTTTAAGTCTCTGTGTGTTTAGTTTATTATAAGAGAGAAAGATGTTTTAAGTCTCTGTGTGTTTAGTTTATTATAAGAGAGAAAGATGTTTTTAAGTCTCTGTGTGTTTAGTTTATAATAAGAGAGAAAGATGTTTTTAAGTCTCTGTGTGTTTAGTTTATAATAAGAGAGAAAGATGTTTTTAAGTCTCTGTGTGTTTAGTTTATTATAAGAGAGAAAGATGTTTTTAAGTCTCTGTGTGTTTAGTTTATTATAAGAGAGAAAGATGTTTTTAAGTCTCTGTGTGTTTAGTTTATTATAAGAGAGAGAAAGATGTTTTTAAGTCTCTGTGTGTTTAGTTTATAATAAGAGAGAAAGATGTTTTTAAGTCTCTGTGTGTTAGTTTATAATAAGAGAGAAGATGTTTTTAAGTCTCTGTGTGTTTAGTTTATTATAAGAGAGAAAGATGTTTTTAAGTCTCTGTGTGTTCCCTTCTCAGGACGTTGTAGCCTTTAGCTGTGAGCTTTGTTCAGGGTTTTTTCAGACGAGTTGTGTTAAGTTACTACTGCTGTAAACACCCCATTTCCTGATATGAATGTTTCACATTAAAAGCACTTCAACTACAGATAGGAAGGGGACTTTTATTGTGAAGAACTTGTCGAACTTTTGTATCATCGAAGGAACGCAGCTTTAGCGGAGGTGCACTTAGCGGTGATACTGTCGGGAGTCTACTGTGTTTACAGCCGCTCACTTTATCCCGAGTCACCGCCACAGCCCCTTCTTTTAGTTATCCTGGACTTAAGACAGCGAGGCATCACTTTAAACACACCTTTACCTGTGATGAAGATGCTAACCCGAGCTGCGGTCGGCTAAAGAGACACCGAGTCAAGCCGTTTCAGCCTGCAGCGGAGCACTGTGGTCTGAGCCTGCAGGACCAGCTGACTCTGCTCATAAAGTCAGCAAGACCAGGACCGGGACTCAATTGATGTTGTTTTCTGTCACAAATCCTCTGTTAGCCTACGTTACTTTCATTACACACCACCGTGTGTGTTTAGGTAAAACAAACTCACTCAACGCTGCTCAAAACAAACACATGTAGAGGTTAACAGATGCTTTTTTCTAACCCTCGTCATAATCGATTACTTCCTGTCCCTGCATCGATGCATCAATCGTCTAGTCTGCATCGCGATGCATCCATTAAATGATTCATTTCAACAGCCCTAATGTTCACATTGCAATTAAAAGTCACAACCCTGGATCTACATCCGGGCACGTGCCCAGGGGCCCCTGAGCACGCAAGGGCCTCCGCGACGGGAGTGGGGAAAATATGCATCAGATGGCTAAAAAATTGATGACTGCAGACTTGAGTAAATCAGTGTGATGAAAGATACAACAGAAAACTCAAAGTACTTGGTCTTTTTCCATTCTCTGATTTTTTTGAAATTTTCAAAATCCAAAACAAAAACCAGAATTTACATTTTTAGACACTTCAAATCCATTATTACCCCTTTACCTTTTCTGAAGTGTATTTCCTTTTTAATATAGATGGACTGCAAACTGCAATGCACTTTACAGATTGGAATATCTTT